TTTTTTTTTTGAGATGGAGTCTTGCTCCTGTTGCCAGGCTGGTGTCACTGGCACAACCTCAGTCATTGCAACCTCCACCTCCCAGTTTCAAGCAATTCTCCTGTCTCAGGCTCCCGAGTGCTGGACTACAGGGGTTGGCCACAACGCCCAGTACAATTTTTGTATTTTCAGTAGAGACCGGTTTCACCAGGTTGGACAGGATTGGTCTCAATCTCTTGACTTTGTGATCTGCCTGCCTCACCCTCCCAAAGTACTTGGGATCTACAGGCATGAGGCACTGCAACCGGCCTGAGTTTTCTTTTCTACTGCATTGCAGGTTGCACATTTTTTGGAAATCATATAGTCATTTTAACTGGGTTTTTTTTTTTGTTTTTTTTTTTGAGACAGTTCGCTCTGTTCCCCCAAGTTGGAGTGCAGTGGCACCATCTTGGCTCACTTGCAAGCCCAACACGTCAGCTACTCAGGAGACTGAGGCATGAGAATCACTTGAACCCGAGAGGCAGAGGTTGCTATGAGCCAAGACCTTGCCACTGCATGCCAGCCTGGGCGACAGAGCGAGACTGTCTCAAAAAAATAAAAACAGCAGCAGTAACAACAACAAAAACCTGTATGCTTTTAACACCCAAGTCACCTCTTAAATGCTTTGCTGCTTAGAAATTCTGTAACCGGCCGGGTGTGGTGGCTCACGCCTGTAATCCCAGCACTTTGGGAGGCCGAGGCGGGCGGATCACAAGGTCAGGAGATCGAGACCACAGTGAAACCCCGTCGTCTACATAAAAATACAAAAAATTAGCCGGCGGCCGGTGGCGGGCGCCTGTAGTCCCCAGCCTACTCAGGAGGCTGAAGGCAGGAGAATGGCGTGAACCGGGAGGAGCTTGCAGTGAGCCGAGATCTCGCCACTGCACTCCAGCCTGGGCACAGCGCGAGACTCCGGCTCAAAAAAAAAAAAAAAAAAAAAATTCTGTAACCGCCAGGCGCAGTGGCTCACGCCTGTAATCTCAACACTTTGGGAGGCGGAGGCGGGAGGATCACGTGAGGGCAGGAGTTTGAGACCAGCCTAATCAACATGGAGAAACCCGGTCTCTCCTAAAAATACAAAATTAGCCGAGCGTGGTGGCACATGCCTGTAATCCCAGCTTCTCGGGAGGCTGAGGCAGGAGAATCGCTTGAAACCCGGGAGACGGACTTTGGGGTTAGCCGAGATCGGGCCATTGCACCCCAGCCTGCGCAATAGGAGCGAAACTCCGTCCGGAAAAAAAAAAAAAGGAAGAAAAGAAAAAAAGAAACTCTGTAACCACCGGGCACAGTGGCTCAGGCCTGTAATCCCAGCACTTTGGGAGGCCCAGGCAGGCAGATCACCTGAGTCCGAGACCAGCCTGCCTAACATGGCGAAACTCCAGTTTCTCTATAAAAATACAAAATTACCTGGGCGTGGTGGCGCAGGCCTGTAATTTCAGCTACTCCAGAGACTGAGGCAGGAGAATCGCTTGAAGCCGGGAGGCGGAGGTTGCAGTGAGTCGAGATGGCGCCATTGCACTCCAACATGGGAATCAAGCGCAAAACTCGGTCTCAAAAAAAAAAAAAAAAGGGAAAAGAAAACGGAAAAGAAAAAAAGAAAAACAGAGAAAGAGAGAGAGAAGGAAAGAAAAGCCTCACAGAACTCTTCGTCTCTTTCGTTCTAAGCTTTTCCTGTTGAACAGCAACGAAGAGGAGAGAGCTTCCCCGCGGTTTTGGTGATTTATCAGGGCGTTTCTATTCAGTGGCAGACGGGCGGACAGGGAGGAGAGAGCGAAGGTTCTCTGGGGCGGGGCATGCAAATTCAAAATGGCTGCTTCTCCCAGGAGCTATGCGAATTAAAATTGAATGTGAATATTGCCACAAACTTGAAATAGTCTTACTGATGCAACATTACTAACTACAAAAAAGAAAAGTATGTGAAACTAGAGAAGAGAGTACCGGTTCACGAGAATCAATGAGTAACCAAAAGGGCCAGGCCCTTCTCAAGGGAGAAAGGCTGCACATTCACAGTTACACGTAACCCTCAGAATGACACCTAAAACCTAAACAAACGATAAGAGTTCACACGTAGTCCACCTGCCCTCCCTGCAAGAGATCACGTCCTCTTTCTCCAGCTGATAGATCAGGGTCGTTAATCCCTGCAAAGATGGTCACTGCTGTAGCTTGCTGCTCCAACCCGTCGATCCCCAGCTGCAGATTGAAGACTTGAAGTTCAAAGGGTCCCTCTTCCACTTTCTACAAACTGGTTCCTTTATTTTTATGTTTATTGATTTGGGATGGGGTCTGGCTCTGTCACCCAGGCTGGAAGTGCAGCGGTGCAATCACTGCTCAGCGCAGCATCCACCTCCCAGCCTCCATCCATCCTCCTGCCTCAGTCGCTGGAATAGCTGGGGTGCAGATACGCCCCAGCCCGAACAGGGTTTCACTAGGTTGCCTGGGCTCTTTCTTTTTCTGTGTTTGTTTGTTTGTTTGTTTGTTTTGAGACGGGGCTCCGGCTCTGCAGCCGGGGCTGCAGTGCGATGGCGTGATCGCACCTCACCTCACCTCACTGCGGCCTTCTGGGCTCCCGCGATCCTCCCAGTGTGCCCGGCCTGAAGACCGCCTTCAGAGAAAGAAGCAGGGGGAGTTTTGCGGAGGACAGACAAGATTTCTGGAGTTTGGAAAGGGTGAGAGATTGGGTCAGCAAAAGGAACATTCCGATCTTTATGTTGGGATGCAATTTATAGATACAGGGATGAGACCCAAAAGAGCCGGCAGAGATTTGTCATCACGGTTGCAAGGCAACTGCCGGTGGCTGATCCCGTAAACGATGTGCATACCTAGAACGGAGCCTACAGATGCATCAAGCATGAACGGCGGAGCCACGATGCTTGGACTCGAGTTCTGCTCCTGTGCGTTCCCTGACACATGGCTTATATTACCTGCACCGCAGTTTTTCCTGGGCAAACACGGAAGCGTGTTGCCGGTGCGTTGGCACCTGCCTTCAAGTGCCAGCTACTCAGCGGGCCGAAGAGGAAGAAGTTTCTACTAGAAAGACACATGGACACGTATGTTGATTTACAGTAGCACAGATTGGAACCAACTCGAATGCCCATCAACGATAGGCTGGATAAGGAAAACGTGGCACGGATACACCATGGAATTACTAGGCAGCCATAAAAAAGGATGAGTTCATGTCCTTCATTCTCAGCAGACTGACACAGAAACCGAAACCCAAACACCGCACGTTCTCACTCCTAAGTGGGAGTTGAACGGTGAGAACACATGGACACAGGGAGGGGAACATCACACACCGGGCCCTGGCGGGGCGTGGGGTGCAAGGGGAGAGAGAGCATTAGAACAAATACCCAACGCATGCAGTGCTTCAAACCTAGATGACTGGTTGATAGGTGCAGCAGAGCACCGTGGCACACGTATACCTATGTTCCAAACGTGCACGCCCTGCACATGTACCCCAGAACTTCGGGGGGGCACCAAAAAGGAGGGGGAGACAGAGACAGAGAGAGAGACAGAGAGAGAAGGGGGAGGGAGGGAGAGAGAGAGAGAGAGAGAGAAAGGAAGGAAGGAAGGCAGGCAGAGAGAGAAAGGAAGGAAGGAAGGCAGGCAGAAAGAAAGAGAGAGAGAGAAAGGCAGGTAGGCAGGCAGGCAGGCAGTGAGTTCAATTCCCGGTGGATCCCATTCCCTAAAAAGGTCACCACCACCACTCGGCTGCCAAGCTGAGATCTAACGACCTCCAAAAGAGTAGTCAGTCGGCTGCAGGGGGTCGCGGGTCGTAGCCTTACCCAAAGCGCTGCAGTCACCGCGTAAACAGAAGCGTGCCGCAATGCCTACCGTCCGCCGCCCGCAGGTCAGAAACCCCACGGTACTCCAACGAGCAGTTAAGCCAGCAAGATGACGTACCACAAAAGCTTGGCGAGCAAACCGCGCCGACCATGCTCTCTCTCGCCCCCTCTACTTTTTACAAACGCGTTGTAACCCCAGAGGCGGTTAAACCAATTTCTGGAAGTACTACAATACCAGGCCGACGCACCGAACAGACATAGCAAGATACTATTCTCTCACCTCAGCTCCAAGAATCCATTATAAAATACTGGTTTACAGACAGAGAACTCACCACATATTAAGCTGCTAAGAACAAACACTACACGCGATCTTGGACAAAAAGCCGAAGAGCCACACTCTTGTTCCCGCGCCCGCCGTCACCGTTCCACTCTCATCCACATTCAAGTCTCGGTGAGAGACCCACCCTCGCTCCTTGCCCCATCCCCTCTGTCTCGTCCACCCCACTATGGACACCGTTACACACTCGGGCTCATTTCTTATTCTCCACCTTTGAAAAGGGAAATCTTACACCCGTGCTTGGATCCGGCGTTCCGGGCTATCATTTCGAATTTGCATACCCCGCCCTTTCACGGAGGGCGCGGCCTCCGCGGTTGACTCCGCCCCCGGGGCCGCCTCTGCGTCCAGGAACCGGGGCTCCGCTGGGGGCGACTTCCTGGTTTGTATCCAGCCGGCGCGAAGACAGAACCGAAGGAGACTGGGGGCGAAGGCGAGAGGGGTCTGTGGAAGAGACCGCTCGGCGGAGAGCCGTCCACATTTTCCTGGAGAAAGACGAGGTCGCAGGGCAGGAGCCCGGGCGGCGCCGGGCCTTCGTCACCAGCGGGCGGGGAGACCGGCCTCGTACCCGCCGGACGAGGGGCCCATTCCGAGTCAGGGAAGCCGAAGGCCTGGAGGGGCTTCCGGGAGCAGGGGCTGGAGTTCCTCTGCCGGGCGGGAGGCTGACACCAGACACCCGGCAGAGGGAGGCGGCGCGTGGATGGCGAGGGCCCGGCAAGGATTCTCCCCGGCCCCTGTGCCTGCGTCTCCTGTGGCTTCTGTGCACGGACCGTGTCCTGTGCTGTGCAGGGAAAGCTGCCTCTCTGCTCGGGACGTGGATTCCTTTCACCTCCTCCTCGCCTGGCTACTCCTGACGCAGGTTGGCAGGACTCCGCTTGGGTGTCACCCGTCCAGGAAGCCTCCCTTAATTAAGGGCCCTGGGCACCCACCCCATACGTGACTAGCAGCCCTCCTATGTATTTCGTCGCACCCCCGTTGTTTATATCAACTATTCCACTCACCACCCTTCTGGGAAATCCTTTATCTCCCCCTCTGAAATCCCATCACTGAGGGCTGGGACCCCTCCTCAGTACTTATCCCTGTTTGCCGGCGCTAGTCTGGTGCCTGGCGTGTGGAAGGCGCTCAGTAAACGTTTGTGGAGCGAAGAAACGACGCAAACGTGATAAGCACGACAGCCCGAAATAGAGAAGACGCAGTTAGGAGGTTACTGGCCCCGCGCGGGGGTAAAGGGGGAAGGTCGGGCTCGGGGTGGCAGGACACCAGAGGGCAGGGGTGACTGCCGGGGTGCTCTTGCGGGAGGATGGGCGTCAAGGCCCCCGGCAAGGTTGGGTTAAGGTTTCTCTCCGAGGCACAGACTGCCGCCTGCGGGGTCAGCATTTACCTCTCCCTTCCTCCTTCCTAACCCAACTTCGGCGGAGAGCTGAGGGCTGAGGGCTTTAGGCGCATTATCTCGAATGTTGGTCAATTCTAATGGTTCTGTGTTGTAAGTTTAAAATACACATGGGATTTAGAAAACAATATAAAATGATTAAAACTCTCCAAAATAAATTTTATGTTGTTTACTATTGTTTTCCTTTTTGACAGCGACTCACCCGTTTTCCCAGGTTAGAGTGTAGTTGAGGGATTCCAGTTCACTGAAACCTTCCACTCCTGAGCTCAAGCAATTCTCCTCCCTCAGCCTCCCACCATGCCTGGCTAATTTTATCTTTATATGTGACATATATGTGTATATATTGTATGTATACATATATATACGTATGTCATATATATATATTTGGTTTTTTCAAATGGATTGTTGCTCTATCGCCCTGGCTGGAGTGCAATGGCGCAGTTTTGGCTCACTGCCATCTCTGCCTACCGGTTTCAAGTTATTCTCCTCCCTCAGCCTTCTTGGTAGCTAGGATAACAGGCGCCCACCACCACGCCCTGATAATGTTTTTGCATTCTTAATAGAGATGGGCTTTCACCTTGTTGGTCAGGCTGGTCTCAAACTCCTGACCCTAGGTGATACACTCGCCTCAGCCTCCCAAAGTGTTGGGATTATGGACCTGAGTCACTGTGCCCGGCCTTTTTTGTTGGTTTTTGTTTTGTTTTGTTTGAGACAGTTTTGCTGTTGCTGCCCAGACTGGAGCGCAATGGAGCCATCTCAGCTCACC